CCCTGTCAGCCTCCCTCAACAGGTCATCATACAGGGCGACCAATGCCGTCTCTGTACCGTGGCGCGGCCTGAAGCCCAACTGAAATGGATCCAGGGCATCTGTTTCATCCAAGTGAGCCTGAAGCTGATCAGCCACCACCCTCTCGACCACTTTGCTCATGAAAGAAACATTGGCGACGGGCAGAAAAAATAAGAGGTTAAGTGACAAAGATCCTACTAAAAGCAAAAAACCCAAACAGCAACATAACAAGAAAGGAGAGAAATGCTATGAAGTCCCTAAACTCAGATCCTGACATCATCATTCTGCTAGCAGAAAAAGGCAACACCACAGTAATCATGCAAAGAGAAGACTACAAGGTCAAAGTCAGGTAACTTCTAGATCCCGCCCCCTATAGAAAACTGAGATGGGACCCAACCAACAAAATCACAAAACAAACAAACATGTTGATCAGGAGTTCTTCCCTGTACCCCAACGTCCTTCAATGAATCTGCAAGACAGAAGCTCTCCCACCAAGACTATATGGACTCCCCCAAATCCACAAAGACTCAATCCCACTCAGGCCCATTGTAAGTGCCATCGGCTCCCCAACATATGAATTAGCAAAATACCTTCCCACCCTCTTACAGACCCACATTGGACAAACCTCATCCTACATCAAAGACTCAGAAGATTTCATAAACAAGATCAGCACCCTAAAACTCAACCCCAGGGATGGACTCATTAGCTTCGATGTAGTATCCCTATTCACCAAGGTACTGATAAATGGCACTCTGACATTCATCCAGCAGATCTTTCCAGAAGACAACAGGGCCCTTTTCCCTTTTTTTAATTTTTTTTAATTTTTAAACTACTAGGGATAGGGTAGGGAATACAAAAGATGAAAGGAAGTGGAAGGGTAGGAGCAAAGGGTTTTGAGGATAGGAGAACACAGAATATATAATCATCCAATCTATTCATATTAAGTATGAATGTTATGGTCAGCAAAGGACAAAAGGGACCATTTCACCACTGCAGGAGTATACCAGATAACTTGCAGTTGTGGCAAGGTATATACTGGAACCAAAAAATGCAGCATCCAAACCAGAATCAAAGAACATGAGAGACACTGCAGACTAAAACAACCGGAAAAATTGGCAGTAGCTGGACATGCCCTGAAACAAGCTGGGCATGAAATTCTATTTCAAAACACAGAAGTAGTGGACAGCACCAGCAATCATCATGTTAGACTGCTCAGGAAAGCCACTGAAATCCACAAACACCAGCAGAGCTTCAACAAAAAAGAAAAAAGTCTAAAACTCAACAAAGATTGGCTCCCAGCACTGAAAAACACAGCCTGCAAATGGTCAACAAACTCTACACAGCCACAAGGACCAGTTATCATTGCACACAAATGGCCAGCTAACAACACCCATCAATCACAGTGACAGATCATCTCTCTCCCTTATAACAAGACACCCACAACAAAAACACGCTGATCACCCTAATCAGCCAATCTCCTGAAAAGGACAAAAAGCTGATCCCACAGCTATCCCACAAACTCAACTATCCCACAAACTGCACCAGAGAAAAGAGTTCTGACTCCTGTCCTCTGAAGATGCTGGCCACAGAGACTGGCAAAACATTAGGAAGAAAAACCTCTCATGAACATGGCCAGACAGCCCGAAAAACCTACAACAACCATGCCTTAACTTACTTCCCTGCTAGCAATCAAAAGAGCTTTACATGTTACAAAAACTCAAATGCTGGTTCAGCTTGTTCACAGCTTTCTGAAATCCACTGACCTTTTGA